ACGTCACATACATACATACATACATACATACATACATACACACACACACAGAGTACACCATAGCGGCCCGTGACTCTGCAGGTAGGAAAGCCAGCTCCCGAATCGGGCTTTTCCCGAAGTCGGGGGCTCGTAAAGACGCGAGGGAGATAAGAATTCTTAAGTTGACTCATTATTGAATAAGTTAGGAGGACCCCCACCCTGAAATAGCGGTAACGTAGGAACATAAGAGGGCTCTAAGATCGTCGCTATTAAGCACCATTAGTGGGTGGGGGTCCACCTAAACCGTTAAACCCCCAAACCCCTACACCCCTAGACCCTAAACCCCGGAACCCCAAAACACAAAGCTCCCATGTCAGGGATTTGCTGGGGTTCTTCTGAAGAAGTGCGAAGTAACGAGGCGCCCATCTGCCTTCAAATGCCTCAACTCTAGGGGTTTAGGGTTCAGGGTTTAGGGTTTAAAGCCCGAAAGCACAAGGCTTGGGATTTGATATTTCGGGTGTAGTTCATTCAGGTTTGGGGTTCATGGAGAGTTTGAGGTCTTCGGAAGGGTGTAAACTCAACTCAGAACTTAACATCGTAGCTATCCTTCAATAGATCGAACGGGGGGAAGGCACTCGTAGCACTGGATGCCCTATTTTGCCTGGCGTCTGCTGCAAGATGACTCATCCCTTCCTATATCAATACTGAGCCACGGATAACAACTACATCCCCCCGGAGAATCCAAATCCAAAGCACTGGAAAAGAGTGAGTAAGGGTGTCTGAAATACTTGCTCCAATCATCCAGGCGGAAGAGGGTGAAACCCTAAACCCTGAACCCTAAACCCTCTCCTCCCTAATTGCCGGGAGCCTCGGCCCAACCCAGAGAAAGCAATGCACAAGCAGTTTCATGTTTGTTCCTTTTTTTTTGCGATCCTAAATCCTAAAACCCGAACTCCAAACCCTGAACCTTAACCCTCAACCCTACCCAGACCCCTGGGAGGATCTATAAATTAGATCCCTATTTAACCCCATTATAACGCATATATAATCCGTATAAAATCCCCCCTATGGTTCTAGGGGATCTAATTTTAGATCCTTTTGGGGGTCTGGGTAAACCTGTCCTAGCCCAGTATAAGCCCAGGTGGCTCGTTCAAGCGGCTTTCCCACCCCGGAGGTCCGCGGGTCCATGGGCGAAGGTACAGGACTCTCCCCGGGACTCAGGACAAGGGGTTCTAGGATGACATGGTGTGTGGTTTATAGGGTTTGGGGTTTAGGGTGAAGGGTTTATGGGGTTCGGAGGGTTTAGGATTTAGGGTTTAGGGTATGGGGCTCAGGGTTTGGAGGGTTTAGGATTTGGGGATTTAGCGCTTCGAGTTTTGGGACCGCAGACTGCATGTCCAAAGTTAAGGGAGAAAGGGTTCTGGGGGGACAAAATGCAATATGGGTGGTTGTCAAAATTATGGTCCCTTTTTGGATCCCTATTATAATACGGCACCTAATATTTAGGGCACCCAAAAAAGAGACCATAATTTTGACAACCACCCATATAGGGCGCGACGAGAAGGATACGGGTTTCCCCATTGAAAGAAATTTCTATCGGGCAGCGATAGCGAGCAAGTCTTGCCTTGGTACAGGGGTTGGAGATGCGAGTAAGCTGAACCATAAGCCCTAGACCCTAAGTGGCACATTACCTACCCTTGAGGGTCCAAATGCTCAATTGATAAGGCTTTAGGGTACCTAAAGCCCCAATACTTGGGTACTTGGACCCTTAGGGTACAGCCCCTCTTCTCAGCCTCCATCTCCCAAAACCGAACTTGCCACCTACGCTCAGGTACCAAACACCTCGGGGGCCGCGAGTAAACGTCTAGAGGTTTAGGGTTTAGGGTTTGGGGGGGGTTCGGGTTGAGGATTGAGGGTTTGAGGAGACATCTTTTCTTGGGGAATGTTCGGGGCCTACCCAGAGGCTCCAAAGTAGCTACTTCCGGGCTAATTCCACCGAACCCTCTGCTCCAAACCAGCCCAAACTCAAAATCCCCATAGAACTGAAAACTTAATAGCGTGTATAAGCTGATAGGACCCCCATATGAGCTACAGTCTAAACTCCTGGCATCCCCCTTCATAACACCTTTCCTAGTCCCCTATTTAGCTACCTTGAAGGAGTTTAAACTATAGCTCACATAATCCCAATAAGACCCCTATACGACCCAACCCTTAACTTCAAACACAAAAACGGTACTCTCTTCAGAGCCCTGGACTGAGGATTAGGGTTTAGGGTTCGAAGCCTAAGCCCTAGCCCCTAAGCCCAAAGCTCTAAACCCTTTGCCCCACGAAAAGATGGAAAAGCTGGGTTGCTGTTCAGGATCTTAAATTAAATCACCATACTATGCGTACCTATGTTAACTGATATGGTGCCCTTAATAAATTCAGTGAAATCAAGTTCCTGAATCTTAGCCCACATTACCCCAGGAAGAAAAAATGATCCTTCCCTAAACCCTAAACCCTAAACCCTAAAGGATCCCTAACATTGATCCAGGCTACACATTGTCCTGTAGCCTCAAAGTCGCGGCACAGCATAGTCCTTAAAGGCTTTTAAGGGCTTGGGGGTTTAGGATTTAGGGTTTAGGGTTTAGGATTTGGGATTTAGGATTAGGGTTTAGGATTCAGGGATTTGGGCTTAGGGTTCAGGTTTTTAGGTTTAGGCTTTAGGTTCACCGGGTCAGTCAAGGATGAACCTCTGTACGTATATGCATGCATAGATGTACAGACATACATGCATATAGAAGCAATCAAGCTTGGGCAGAAAAGTTTAGGGTTTAGACGATTCAGCTCCATAGGTCTTTGAGGCCCTACACCCTAAACCCTAAACCCTAATACCTTTTAGGGCGCTAGGATCTTAAGGTTTACTGGGGGCAAGGCAAAGTCAACTAGCTCCAGGTTATAGGGAACCTGGAATGTATGGGTTGTGGGGGTTCGTGGCTAAGGTCATAGGAGTCGAGGGCCGGTTGGCGGGTGTGAGAAGCTTCCGGATTGGAGCATGGATAGGGATTGCTGGGGTACCGTAGTGCACTGAGTTGCTAGTGTTTGGTCAAGAGGCTCGGCAGGTTGACGAAAGTAGAAGTTGTGAAGAATATCTTTTTGTGAGCTCTTTGAATATTATGTGGGCCATTCAACATTTGAATCCACCTAGAAGTGGGTAGCTTGCAGGTGGGTGGTCTTCATAATAGTCCGAAAGGACATAACATCTCCATGACTTATGGGAATGGGAGGAACGCCTATGAGCTATAGTCTAAACTCCTAGTTTCCCCCTTATTAACCCCTGTAATAATTCCCTATATAATCCCCTACAACACCACCCCTTTAAGAAGTTTAGATTATGGCTCCTACGAGCAAAAGCACCGATGTAAACTGCCCGCCTGTAGATGGCTTCTGGCCATGGGCAGTCCGGAAGATTTGCTCTGCTATTACTCCGAGAGCATCTCAGACTCCCTAATGGATCCAGAAAATGGAACTCACCGAAATGGCGCCCCCATTGCTATATTGGGGAAACTGGGGGATTATTGGGAGGTTCCATTTGTTGGATCCTTCAGGGGGTCTGGGATACCGGAGGAGAACGATACCCTGAAGATTACCCAAGTAAGGAAGATATGTATGTGTGCCTCACGGAAAGGACACCCCACCTTTATACGCAGACCATCTTAAGGAATTCTATACTAATGCACTGAAATCTATACTCCAAACACGCCCGCATACCTAGGAAGCCCAATGATGCTTAGTTAAAGAATATGCCTTCAAAACATCAGACCAGGCCTGCGACCCTACACAATCACCCATAAAGATCCAAACCTAATATGAGTTAGTGTCATGTCAGAATGAGGGCGAAAGGGCGAAAGGGCTAACCATATCATAGGACTTAGGGGGCCTGTATTTTGGCTATAACTACAACTATACTTTGTAATCCTGAACCTCCCCAGTAGCATTGCTTTCGAGGGAAGTTTGGTAAGTTCCATAAAGACAAAAATTAGGGTTTAGGGTGTAGGGTGGCTCTATCGGTCTAAGCACTAGACGGTATGGGACATTCTGGTAATGCAGGGTTAAAGCCAGACCTACAGTTACTACTTTCAATTGTGCAGTGACCTTCCTCAACCTAAACCCCAAACCCTTCATAATATATAGTCCCCCTTAAGTAGATAAAATGTGGAGTATATAGGGATCTTATTATAATATACCCGTTGCCATATTCTATCTACCTAAAGGGGACTTTACAACGAAACCAGACTGTCCAAGGTATGAGCTACTACTGTTGATGGAAGAAATCTT